AACTCCGCTAAACTTTTCCAAGAACATAGTAATACTTGAAAGTAAAACCGGCAGAACATTTATCAAAACATTTTATACCCAATTTATGTATTTTTGATAATTTTAATGAGAACGAAATTACATAGTGTACAATCCTAAAATTACCAACACATACTTTGTTGACATGATTCTCGAAGACAAATCCCATTGAATATTTTTAAGTTATAGATGAAAATAATGCATTCTAATAGTAACTACACACATAGTATATCACAAGAAGAGTCGACAAGTGTGCTCAACAYGTGACTCCCAAGATTCGACTACCAAATTCCCTTTATGTTCCGGGCCACACAAGCTCACTCGCTGTGAGAAGTTCAAAGAAAAGACTCCTCAACAAAGAAAGGAATTCACAATGCAAGCAAGACTAACTGCCTTGGAAGACTAACATAACTGCCTTGGAGGAAATCACCGTGGAATTAACTGTAGGAGCGACAACACTTGCAGAGTCGCAAGCTGTGGAAGAAAGCATCACACATTTCTACATCCAACAACCCAAAACAATAACAATACGAACAATTATCAAGGAAGTACGCCGTTTCCCAATGCGTCGGACATACCGCRAGCTAATCCCAGTCAAGTGAGCGGGGCCGGTACATTTGGTCATTGTGGCTCCACCAGCAMAAGCAAAAGAAGCAGAGTTTGTCTTCGTGACATTCCTGTAACAGTGCAGTCGTWCGACGGTGTATCCCAAGTACAGACATACGCCCTTCTTGATGCAGRGTCTGATGTCACACTTTGTACGGAAAGTCTTGTCGATCAACTCAACTTACGGAGTATTCCAAAACCCTTCTCTATCACTACGGTAAATGGGCAAAGCTCTAAACACAAGGGACGTGAGGTAAAACTCACGATCAAAGGCGTTTGCGCAAACGAGGTCATTGATCTTGACAATACATGGACAGTGGATAAACTATCCATTTCAAAACAGAACATTCCAACCTATGCACAAATCACTTCGTGGTCATATCTCGATGGGATTGAAATCCCAAGTTTGGAAGACAAAGAAGTGACTATCTTAATTGGTAGCGACATTCCTGAAGCACACTGGGTGCTGGAACAAAGGAGAGGAAAGAAGGGTCAACCATATGCTGTACGCACGCCTTTAGGATGGTCATTGATGGGACATCTTGGCACAACTGAATGCAAGGACGCGAGTGTGAACTTTCTGCGTCTACACGATGAACTATTGCATCGGCAAGTAGAAAGAATGTTCAAAGCTGATTTCAATAATCCTATAATTGATGTCAAGTCTACAATGTCACTGAATGATAAGAAAGCATTGAGTATAATAATAATAATATAATAACAATAATGTGGTATTTATATAGCGCCGATATCCTCTGAGTTCAAAGACGCTTCACATGTATAGATCATTTCACACGGACCGCTGTTTTTTAAGGCGCAATTGGCAGCCACGCGGCTTACAATCATGAGGGGTTAGTAATTAGTATGGGTTAGTAGTAAAGCCTAGCCACACACACCGGGAATCATTCCCTACTCTTATGCGAACAGTGGTGTGGGTTCTTTAACGTCCCTCTAATACAGGTTAGTGAGTGAAGTGTAGAGAGACGGGACCTCCGATTTTACGTCGTTATCCGAGAGGACGAGATCTTACCATTTGCAGATAGAGAAAGACAAAGGCAGCAACTTCTCCTCAATTATTTTAAGACCCTGAGTGTTGGTCCGGCCGGGGTTTGAACCTGCGACCTC